GGGAAAGACAATGTCAGGGGAATGAGAAGACAAGCCACAGACATGGAGAAAGTATTTTCAAAAGGCACATGTGGGCTTCCCTGGTGGCGCAGTGGTTGAGAGTCCGCCTGCCGATGCAGGGGACACGGGTTTGTGCCCCAGTCCGGGAAGATCCCACATGCCGCGGAGCAGCTAGGCCCGTGAGCCATGGCCGCTGAGCCTGCGCGTCTGCAGCCTGTGCTCCACAACGGGAGAGGCCACAACAGTGAGAGGCCCGTGTACCGCAAAAAAAAAAAAAGGCACATGTGATGAAAGACTATTATGCAAAATATTCAAAGAAATCTTAAAACTCAATAATAATAAACAACTTGATTAAGAAATGGGCCAAAAAACTTAACAGACACCTCACCAAAGATAATCAACAGGACTGCAAATAAGCAAATCAATAGATGTTCCACATGGGTCGTCTCAAATGAAAATCAAATTAAAACGAGGTATCATACGCACCTACCAGATCAGCCGAAATTCAAAATACTGACAAGGTCAAATGCTAGAGAGGATGTGGAACAAGAGGAACTGTTATTCACTGCTGGGGAGAACACAAAATGGTCCAGCCACTATGGAAGACAGTTTGGCAGTTTCTTACAAAACTAAACATACCCTTACCATAGAATCTAACAATCATACTCCTTGGCATTTACCCTAAGGGGCTGAAAATTTATGTCCACATAAAAACCTGCATATGAATATTTATAGCAGCTTTATCCATAATGGCTAAAACTTGGAAGTAACCAAGATGTTTTTCAGTAGGTGAATGAATAAAAACACTCTAGTACATCAAGGCAATTAAATATTATTCAGTGCTGAAAAAGAAATGAGCTATCAAGCCATGAAAAAAACACAGAGGAACCTTCAATGCATATTACTAAATGAAAAAAAAAAGTCAATCTGGAAATGCTACGTACTACATGACTCCAACTATATGACGTTTTAGAAAAGGCAAAACTTTGGAGACAGTAAAAAGATCAGTAGTTGCCAAGGATTTGGCGAGGGAAGAGAAATGAATGGATGAAGCGCAGGGGATTTTTAAGGCAGTAAAAGTACTTTGTATGATACCATAATGATGGATACATGTCATTATACATTTGCCCAAACGTATAAAATGTAAAACACTATGAGAATGGTAATGCCTACTCTGAATTTTGAGTGATTATCTTGTGTCAGTGTAGGTTTATCAATTTTAACAATATACCCACATGCTGGTGGGAGATGGTGATAACAGAGGGAGGCTATGCATGCGTGGGGGTAGCAGGTACATGGGAAATCACTACACATTCCCCGCAATTTTCCTATGAACCTCCCCCCCAATAACACCTTAATTTTAAAAACAATTAAGTTGAGATATGGAAGATACAGAGACTCAATTTGAACTCCCTGACATGGAAAATAAATGTCTGAGATGAAAAACACAGTGGCTTGGTTTAAGAGTAGATTAGACATTACAGAAGAAAAGGTCAGTAACTTTGAATGCCTAGCAATAGAAATAATTTAAAGTGAAATACAGAGAAAGGAAGGGAGGCAGAGAGAGAGGGAGTGAGAACATAAGAGCATCCGTGGCCTGTGGGACAACTTCAAGAGGCTTAATATATGTATAAGTGAAATCTCCAGAAGACAGGGACAGAAAGAGTATTTAAAGAAACAATGGCCAAAATTTCCCCAAATTTAAAGAAAACTGCAAACTCACAGGCCCAAGTAGCTCAATAAACCCTAAGCACCAGAAACACAAAGAAAATTACACCATGGCGCACTGCAATCAAATTGTACAGGTGAGTAAAGAAAACAAAACCTTAAAAGCAATTATGGGGGGGAAAAGACATGTACAAGGTAACAAAGAAGACAACAGATTTATCACTGAAAATAAGGAAGCGAGGCAAACACAAAGATAGTGGAACAATATTGGCCAAGTAAAGTTTTAAAAATGACATTCGGAATTATACGATTCTCTCAATAGATGCAGTGAAAGCATTAGACAAAATGCAACATTGATTTCTGATCAAAATTCTTAGCCTACTGGAAGTAGAAGATGGCTGTCTTAACTGGAAAAGTTGCATCTGCAATAAGCCCAAAGCTAATATCACAGTTAATCAAGAAAGGAACGTCTTCCATCTAAGATCAGGAACAAGGCCAGGATGTCTGCTCTTATCACTTTTACTTGGCATTATACTGGAAATCTCAGCCAAGGCAATAAAGCAATCAAAACCCTATCAGGCTTTCTTTTGTGTGAAAAATGATAAGCCAATTAAAAACTTCACATGAAAATAATTCAAAGGTTCTAAAATAGATAAAATAACTGAAAAAAAGAAAAAGTTGGAGGGCTAGCACTACCTGATTTTAAGACTTTATTTATTATAAAGTATAACTATAGTAATCAAGACCATGTGGTAGTGGCATATACATGGAGAAAAAGATCAGAATAAAAAATCCAGAAACAGAAATAATCTCCACACATATACAGAAAGCTGAATTTTAGAAAAGGTGCAAAAGCAGTTTAGTACAGAAAGGATAGTGTTTTCAAAAAATGGTGCAGGAACCATTGGATTTCCATATGCGAAATAAAGAACTTGGGTCTATAACTTATACCACATTAAAAATAATCACATCAAAATGTATCATAGACCAACGTGTGAAACATAAAAATATAAAACTTACACAAATAAAAACACACAAAAATAAAAATGGGCGAAATACTTGGATAGTTAACTAATGTAGATACATGGATAGCATATAAACATATTCTAAGATGCCTGAAATCATTAGTTGTCAGATAAATACAAAATAAAAGCAGTATAAGATAACAAGACACAAGTATTAGAATGGCTAAAATCCAAAAGACTGGCCTGACACTGGAAGGATTTGTATGACCTGGAATTCCCATACATAGGTGGTGAAAATGTATATAGAATGGTAAAAGAACTTAGGAAGAGTCTTAAAAATTAAACATGCTCCTAATATATGTTCCAGCTATTCTAGTCTTAGGTATTTATTCAAGAGAAATGTAAACATATGTCCATATAAGTGCTCCTAACAACTTTATTTTTTAATAGCTAAAAACTAAAAACATACCAAATGGCCATTGAAGGTGACTACATAAACAAACGGTTATATTTTAATACAATGAAATGCTACCTGGCAATAAAAAGAAATAAATTGTTGCTAAACCCTACAACATGGATGGATCTCAAAACAGCTATGCTGAGTGAAAAAAAACACACAAAAGAAGGACGCATGCTGTAAGATCTATTCACATAAAATTGTAGAAATGCAAAAAAAAAAAACAGTTTTATAGCACCATAAAGCCCGCCAGTGATTGCCTGCCATGGGGGGGCAGTCAGGAGGGATGGCTTCAATGGGGCATAAAGAACCTTTTGGGTTGATAGATATGCTCATCTTCTTGTCTGTGGTGATGGTTTCATGGGGTATACATATGTCAAAATTTATTTTATTTTATTATTTTTTAACATCTTTATTGGGGTATAATTGCTTTACAATGGTGTGTTAGTTTCTGTTTTATAACAGAGTGAGTCAGTTATACATATATATATGTTCCCATATCTCTTCTCTCTTTGTCTCCCTCCCTCCCACTAAAATTTAAACTGTACAGTCTGAAGATGTAGACTTTTTTTTTTCCAATTATACTTCAATAAAGTTCTTTTTAAACTTTCTAATCTCCAGCTTCTCCTAAGAAACTGGAAGCTCTAGCTGCATTGCAGCTGCAGGACTGCGTGGCAGTGGAAGCTGTCTCTTTCCCAAGTCACTTGCTCTCAAGTTTCCCACAGTCCCTCCCCTTTTTTGCCCTTATCCTACTTTATTCACTTACTTGACTGCCTTAGGAATAAGAATTTATGACTATCAGTTGATTTCTTATCTTCTCTTAACAAACAAAGAGATATTAAAATGGTTTTTCCCAGCAGTCTGAAGTAGAAAGCATAGAAAGCTCTTTAACTTTTTCCATGGTACTCTCTGTTACTGGGTCCCAACTAATTTTCCACACCCTTTTCTTAACACTCCCTTCATCAGCCAATATACATGTGAAATTCTGTATTTTATATATACTCTTGTCCACATTCCCAAACAAGCTGTATGTGTTGAGTTTGCTTATTTAGCATGTTTATGAGATCCATGTGTAAACTATTAACAAAGAAAGAAGGAGAGAAAAAGAACAGTCTGCCTTTAAACTCACAGTTAGGGCTTTTCATTTCTACCAAATGGTAATTGGAAGTTATCTTAACTCTCTCCAGGAAGGGCTAATAGAAAGAACAGAACCCTTGACAAAAAATGATTTCTTGCTGTTTGGTACAGGATGTAAGAGGTTTAAAATAAATGACCTCACAGAAAATGAGAGGTTTTAAAAGTTATCATCAACAATTTCATCAGTACAGGCTGGTGTAGCTGTAATGGGCCAGGTGATGCCCAAAATCTTTCTATTGTCTTTAGTCATCAATCTTCAGATGTCAAGCTATTGCTGAATCAAGCTTGTAAATTCCTTACTATATTGGGTCAACCCAAGTTACAGATTATGTCATAATCTTTTTTTTTCTCCTGCAAACTCACCTTAGCTGTGCCAACTTTTTTGTTTGTAATTTTTTTTTTAATTCACTTGCTTCCCAAGATGAAGAATAAATAATAAATATTATGAGGTTACTGAGTTCATAATATTAGTTTCACTTTTTTATAATTTATGCATAGATACAATTAAAATATGAGATAGTTATTGCTTGCATACTTTGAATGCCTGTCTTAAATTTATCCTGAAATATTTTAATATTTGTAATAGTTTCATTATTTACTTACAAATAAAACTTCTCATCCCATACTGGATTCAAGTTTCCAAAAATGGTTTTAGTTCTTCTTTTGTTCTTTCCAACTTGAACTGTAACATATGGGTCACTTGACCCTGTTTTGTCTTTTGCCTGCAAGCCTTGTGCAGAAACCACTGAAATAAACCAAATTCAAACTTTTAATATAAAGATTTCCTCAGAAACAAAAAAAAAGATAATGAAGGAAACATTTTCTATTTCGTTGTCCCCTTGGTTTGCAATGCAACCCCATTGCTTTCATTTTCATGAGCAACAGGACTTAACAAAATGTTTAAGAAAAGCATGAATCACGGAACATTAAAACCTTCCTTTAATGAATATTTGCTTTTGCCTGTAATGAACAGTAGTGGTATACATACATATGCATATTAGCTATATACTCATATATATCACTGCACCATGTATAGAATAATGAGAATGCACCTACAATAAGCAAATTACCCAATGTAGTTCAAAGGTCTGTGATTTAAGATGTATTTATTTATTTATGAATTTACTGTCAGTATTGATCAACAACTCAGTAATAGAAGCTTCTTTATTTTACCTTTTGAATACAATATGAGTAAGTTAAAAGGCGTGGTAAATATCAACATGTAACATACGCAGTTGCTGTTACTTACAAGCAACTTCAGAAGTTCAAGTTATTAGACATCACTAAACTCAGATTGCCAAATCAAGATTCAAATGAATGGGGGATACTGATCCAGGAGTATATAAAACAATATTTGTTTTCTCATTAAGAAAAACTGACTGAAGAGATTACTGGCTACTCTTGTCATTTATCAGTGGCAGGCAGCAACAAAGCTAGTCTCTTGTAAACTGCAGGGTATTGATGAGTATATTACAAAATAGAACTTTCTTCCTCTTGAAGAGCTTCTGATTAGAACAAGACATAGACTGAAATGATTTCAATTATCTAGTACACATTTCAGAAATTTGAAGTACCAATTAGACTTCAATATTGACAAGATTGAAAAATTCTATTTATCTTACCTATAACTATTAATAGCAGTGTTTTCTAAGACATATAAAAATCTCAATATGGAATGAAAATTTTTAAAAAGACTTATTTTTACCTGTAATGGTTATTTTTGCTGACCACTTAGATGTCCCGTCCAGTACACTCTGTTTGGCCGCCTTTGTGTACTGCACAAAATCTTCTTTAGAAATCTGAAACATTTCCTGAATTATTTCAAACACCTCTGGCCTGTTTGTCTCCCTGATCTTCATTCTTTCTTTCATGGCTGTAATAATGGTCTGAGTCTTGTCTTCCGCACCATGCTTAGAACTCTTTTCTGCCGCTCCTATAGTAGAAAAATAGTAGAAAATAGTAGAAAAATAGTAGAAATAGTAGAAAAATCAACTTCATGTAAATATACATGAAGTTACTTTTTGAGGGACCAAGAGAGGGAGAGAAAAAAAAAAGGAAGAACATGAGAATGAATGAATGCTTTCATTGTGAGGAGTCAGGGTGGCTTTTTCAAAAAATATCAGGGGAACAAGCTCTATGCTGAGACTAGCCCTTGTGTTACTGGCAAGGAAATGGACCTCCACGATCCCAGTTTTTTCAACTGTATTACTGAACTGAATCACAGTTGTGCAAATATTTGGTCTGAATTTTTAAAAACAAGTTTCAAAACCAAAAGGAACGCACACAATCAAATCTGTTATATACCACACATATTTACTCACTGAGTAACCAAAACAAAATTGAGAAACAGAATGGATGCATACGGCAAATGTCACTTGAAAATCAATATTTCAAATACTTGTGTTCATCTAAAGTACCTAATTATTTTTAATTGATGAAATTTATCATAATGAAAAGCTTAAATTTTTCCCTGCAAAATAAATACCACCACTATTTGTTATATTGAAATATAGGGTAAAATTTTACTTGGAATGAAAGTAATTCTGCTATTTAAAAAGGATGTGGAAACCACTGGGCTGGACTACCTCTACCTCTACCTCATGGACCACAGACTTGAACTCTCATTCTGTGATATGGCCATAGTTTTAAACAGGCTGAATTTTCACTTTCCACTCAAAACTGTGTTTTGTTTTCTAAGACATTGTTTTTTCATGATCGGTGTCAACTTTGTGGGCACTTTTGTTTATAACACAAATCCTGGCAATGAAGGATTTCCAAAAGCCAACTCTTGGGTCCCTCACCTTCTCCAACTACCCACCGGATAGTCTTATGTGTCCTCTGGGTTGCTCAGTATTCCACAGGCAAATAGTGGACCCTGATTCCAGCTCTCATTGTTTCCTTACTGAGTTTGAAGTAGGAAAGCAAAAGCCCATGTATCAGGGTCTACAGAAACTGTCGCTGCTGAAACCAAACACTTTTTGGTACAGAAGCAACTGATATATAATGAAAAGAAGAAGAAAATTGTGTCTATAGGTGGTAATCATTCCAATTTTTATCTCCATGACTAAATACTGCCCAACTTGTATTATATTTTTTGAAATATTGTATTTCTGAAATAAGCATACTAATAGAGTTTAGAGACTGAATGTGATAATTTATCTGTACAATTCCTATCACAAAGGATAGCCTCAGTAATGTTCTTTGAGTCTACTTCTGTGAATGTTATGCCCAATTTAAGTAAAGAAGCTAAGACAAATACAAAAAGTCAACTCTGAACTTTCCTCGTAATAAATTCATCTGAAATTTAACGGCAGTATTTTAGTGAACATCTTCATTTATTTGAAAATAAAACATTTATTTTCTAAAGTAGAAAAAATACATACATAGTAATCAAGGTATAATTGGAGTACACTAAAAGAGATGAAAAATCTATTGGCAGAAAGAGCAGTTTCCCTGTCTTTACCTTTTTTTTTTAACCTTTGAGAATTTATACATTTAAAAACACTACTAAAAATTAATGTATTCCATTTAAGATATAATTTGAAAGGACATTCTAAGTGTCCTAGTCATCTGTTAAAGCATGCCCTCAAACAGCTACACATTTGTGAATTGTGCACCTTTAAGCAATTAAGCATTTTTGTAATTTGTCAGTAATGGTTTAGCTCCACAGAACATTAATTCTTACATGGTAAAATTAGCTTAGGCTACACTATATAGTTACAACTCCCCAAAAGGCATATTTTACTTCAAATATTGGAATATTCATTAAAAAGAAAGAACAGCAGTGCCTTGAAAAAGTCACCTACAAGATTCAAAGTGCCTCAAAAGTTTGGTTTGTAAAGGTCATTCTAAGAATGCTCAAAGTGTCATAAAAATGTTGACTTCCCCCGGATTTCTAAACAACTATTACTGTTGTGGCTATTATGCCCTCAAAGCTCTAGAAAAGTGTGTTAAAGTTCCCAAGAGTTAAATGTATTTTGGATTATTTTTCTAAATTCAGGAAGAGCCAGCTGACTGCCATCCACATAATCAACGTTCATTCTAGTAATAACTACCCAATTCAAGGCTGGAATGTCAAGAGATTTTTCTTCCTAAGAAACCAAATCTCTGTACTTAACAACTGCCGCCGCTTGAATTCTTTTAAGGAATTAACTACGAAAGCTTGACAATTAGCTTTGAAATCATTCACCAATGCTTTTGATGTTGGAGTAGAGTATCTACTCAATATGTACAGACAACATACAGACCCATAAATTGTGAAATCGCCAATCTAGGAGAGCAAGTTAATAGAGACTTATGTTTGAGCCTTTTAACTGTTATTTCTAGAAAAGATATATAGCTTTTTTTAAGTTCTACTTTTATATTTTTGATCTGAAGAAAATGATTCAAAGTAGATCTATTTAGTTCAGGGATACAAGACAAATTTATAATTTTTGTAACTCATCTACAATGACTTTTCATTGCCCTGTTATTTATTGAACCTATATATCTCATCTTATTTTTCTAATGGTAGTACGTCAACCAGAGATCAACAATAAAGGAGATCAAGAGATATTACACAGTGAAATCACTTGGTAGAGTAATACATACTTTACCAAGTGCTTTCACTGTGTAATATCTCCTTTGATCTCCTTTATTGTTGATCTCTGGTGACATATTACTGTATTTCAATGAAGCTGCTAGAATGCAGACAAAGAGAATGGAATTGAGGACACGGGGGTAGGAGAGGGTAAGCTGGGAGGAAGTGAGCGAGTAGCATTGACATATATACACTACCAAACGTAAAATAGCTAGTGGGAAGCAGCTGCATAGCACAGGGAGATCAGCTAGGTGCTTTGTGACCCCCTAGAGGGATGGGATAGGGAGGCTCAAGAGGGAGGGGATATGGGGATATATGTGTACATATAGCTGATTCACTTTGTTATACAGCAGAAACTAACACACCATTGTAAAGCAATTATACTCCACTAAAGATGTTAAAAAAAAAAAATCAGGCTCTGGATCATAAAAAAAAAAAAGAAAAGAGTAATACATTATCCAAATGGAATGCATCTTTGTTACTTTTGAAAACACTTAGGGACCTCCCTGGTAGCACAGTGGTTAAGAATCTGCCTGCAATACAGGGGTCACGGGTTCGAGCCCTGGTCGGGATGATCCCACATGCTGCAGAGCAACTAAGCCCGTGCGCCACAACTACTGAAGCCCGCATGCTTAGAGCCCGTGAGCCAAAACTACTGAAGCCCGCGTGCCTAGAGCCCGTGCTCTGCAACCTGAGAAGCCACTGTAATGAGAAGCCCTCGCACCACAACTAGAGGAAGCCTGTGCACGTTGACCAAGACGCGAAGCAACCAAAAATAAAAAAATAAAATAAAAACACTTAATTGACAGATTAATACAATTATGCACAACAAAACTGCAAGAGATTTCAACCTTAGACAGAGGCAGACTTATCCCACATGGCTCCCTTCCACCTAATTTAATGGAACAGCCAATTAAGCAGAAACCTTCATTTTCTTTAATTTTTATTCATTACCCAAAGCATCTAAATTGCATATAAATGTCACAGTTTCACCACTTTTACATGGCAACTTACAATTTCAGTTTTCCTTCCAAATAATTATCTATATGTATGTAACAAACGTATGATTCCACCGTGGTCTCAGTCTCTTCTCTTTCCTATTTTTCTGAACAGCTGTTCTAAAACATTTCTACTCTTTTCAAGTCACCTACTGCCGCCATTACTCTCCATTCTCAGCATATGATCTAATCTCTTCCTTAACAGAAATGCAGGCTTTCTAAATTCAGTGGTCCCTTTTTCTCCCCTCCCCCATGGAAAAAAGCTGAACAACAAAAGCCAAACTTGATTTCTAGCATTAGCAGATTTCTGTGGTGTAAATACTCCTAGCATGGCTGATTTCAAGGAACTGCCTCACAGAATTCTTCAATATTTATCAACCAACACTGACACAACTATATATATACACACACACACTACTCTTCAAGGCCAACCACAAGTAAAGGTGTATTCCAAGTATCTAACACATTGCTTGGAAAATAGGATACACTCAATAAATAGAGAAGATAAAATGTTTATTGGGGGAATCTAAAAAAACCCAATATATTTGAGTATTTAATTGGCTCTGGGTTTAATTTAATGTGCTATAAACTTCTTGCACACTGTGACCACAAGGCCAAAATCCTGGAAGAAACAAGAATGAATTCTATCTAAAATGATAAACATGCTGTGGAATATATTTTATGAAGAGACAAAATACACCTGGTCCTTGGCTTCAGATTTGGGATTTTCAGAAAACAAATGGGTGCCCACCATTATAAAGCAGAATTTGGTTGGCACATATACTTCATGAATTTAATAACATAAAGCAAGGGCATAAATCCAATTATAAATGCAAAAAATTCAATCAAGACAATCGCGGGCCCAGCCGCTCCACGGCATGTGGGATCTTCCCGGACCGGGGCACGAACCCGCGTCCCCTGCATCAGCAGGCGGCAGGCGGACTCTCAACCACTGCGCCACCAGGGAAGCCCAAGACAATCACTTTTAAATAAGGCAGGAGAGCATAGTGCTCATGGTGCTCTGGATATAGAACAACACAGCCTTGTGTGTGAATCCTGATTTGCCACTTACTAACCATCTGAACTTGTGCAAGTTAATTCCTCTCTGTAAGCCTTAGTTTCTTCGTCTGAGAAACACAAGGAAATAATAGCAGTGTCTTCCTTTACAGGGTCATTGTAAGGATTAAATGAGATAATGCATATAGTTTCAATAAAAATAATTGAGTAAGTGTAGGGATTTCAGAATGTCTAAGAGGTGAAGTTATAAGCATTTGTTAAAGAATTTCACATTAACGAGGAATTTTAGGGTTCTGAGCTTCATAATTACTTGCCCTGTGAAGCAATTCCTTGAAAACT